TATAGAAAAGGTGACACAAACTACATAAATCGTGCCTTGCGACAAGGGAGGGAGGGTGCGGAGCCCGTTGGCCAACTCTGACCAACTGTGGAGAATTCAGTCACGGAGTGCCCTTTATATAATGAACCCCAATATTCCAGAATGTTCCAGGTCACGTGGTTTTGCGCGCTTTTTTCCAAGGTCACGTGCTTTTTTCCTTATCTGATTTCTTAAAGGGGCCCTAACCTAATTCCTACCTATTTGAGTATAATTCTTTTTTTTTTAAAATTAAATATTGAGGGATGGCGTCTGCATGCCCATGCTTTCGGGCTCTTATTTTAAAGCCCTCATTTTTCATTACGGATTGAAGTGTCAAACATGTAGTAACTATTGTCCTTCTCTTGTCTGCTGTCTTGTCCTATCACACCAAGTTTCTTTTTTCAGTTGGAATATGTCTGAGCGATGACTAGTACTTCAAAAACTATGCACACGGGTGTACTGGGACATAAAATCTGGATTTATTTCAGTACCTGGGAGCCTCAAGTGTTGCATACAGCCTCCTATACAAATTATAGGATAGGTCTAGATGGCTGTATGTAGGTATACCAGGATCCAGGAGAACCCCTGGAGGACATCAGATGGCGAAACGCGCAGGGTGGGGCTTTGACGTGACATCACCATGCATGCCTGGGCTGTGCTTACGGCTGGAGATTAGAGCCGGAGCCAGCCCAGATGTAGGATTATACACCACTATACTGGTGTCAGTGAAGACATTTTGAATGCAAGTGTTTTGGATTGCTTTTAATAAAGCGTTTTGATGATTTTACACTATGCAAGCTCTTTCCTCTTTTTCTCCTGCTATTATATGATGGAATATATAGTTTGGTGATCTTGAGGACTTCTGAGAAAGGAATCTTTTGGCCGATGCAGATCGTCACTCCCAGAGGCGAATTAATTTTTGGCTGTTTATAATACTACCAGCATTTACCCCTGGTCAGTCCATTTAGTACATATGGGGCAGTAAAATAAGAAGCCTTTGATTACAGATCATTACCCCAGAGGGAAGTGTGCTGTTGGCTGGTTTATAATGTTACCAGCACTTACTTCTGGTGAATTTATCTAGTACATATGGTGGTGAAATACACTATTGGCGATGTAAAGATGGGTTTGAAAAAAACTCATATTTTTTGTATTTATTGTACATATTATGTGTGTAATGTATATGCACTTAACATTTTGATATATATAAAACACATTTTTATGTGGATATATTGTATTGTGATACAAGTTTTATGTGGAAAATGCACATGAACCAGGCACTTTGATATGTGTTATATTCATGTGGACATATTGCACTCATAGTCTTATTACGATTGATTGTACATAGAATATTTATTTTGTCTTTTTAATTGCGATGTCCTCTCAAACAAACATCTTTAGTACGTCAGTACATGTTCGCACGTTTACACTCACACTGTGTATGTCAGCGTACAGTCATATCTTGTAATTCATGTGTACATGCGGCTCTACGCACACAACACAACACATGTGGCTCCCTGATGGAATATTTTACAATATATGCCCCAATATGTCAAAGTCCGTATTTTGTACTCCCAAAACACACCCACATTTTTCTTTATTTGCCCCAATACATCCAAAATACGCACATATTTTACATTATATGCCCCAATACACCCTTATTTTATCTTATAATGCCCCATAAGGCCCAAAATACACCTGCGTTTTACATTATATGCCCCAATACGTCCAAAATGCAACTGTATTTTACAATTGTATTTTACATGACATGTCCCTACACACCCATATTTCACCTTATATGCCCTAATCAGCCGAAAATATGATCCTGTTTAACATTATATGCCCCAATATGTCCAAATTCAGGCTGTATGTTACATTATATGCCCCAACACACCCATATTTGACCTTATATGCTCTAATAAGAAATATGATCCTATTTTACATTATATGCCCCAAATACACCCATATGCTGTGCTGCTGCTGATGTAAACCTTACGTTGACTGGAATAAAAGGGTTCCACTAATGTACATCTGCCAAATCTGTATCTGAGTAGACCATAGAAGCAGCATTAGAAAGAAATGTGAGCATGGCTTCAGTCAGGCTATGGTCCTGGTGGTCATGGTCTTGTTCTCCTTCAGGTCCTCTCACCTTGTAGATGGTTACATGGACTTGTGTTGGAATGAGCAGGAGGGGCTCGGGGTTCTCTTGTACCCAATCAGCTTGTTATGGATAAAAGATGAAAGTGTCTTCTGGGAAGTTACAGGGATTTGGATGTTTAGAGAGTTATATAAGTGGACGGGGCTGGTATTAATGAGGGGTGTGTCATATGTTAATCAGTTTCTTAGCATATATTATATAAATGGTATAAATAGATCCTTGAAATGTAAACAATCTCTTTTCTTCTGTTGATAAAGTGTCACATATATATGATGAATTTAGATCAGCTCATGGGGGGTGGTCACAGACGGTGGGGGCATAGTCACAGATGGAGTGCAGTTCTCTGCGTGAGTGCAGTTTTTGTTGGAGTGCGAAGCAGCAGTTGAACACAGCAGTTTAAAGCAGGATAACTCAAGCAGCAGGAAGATACAACAACAAGAAACTCTACTGCACGCTGGATAGACTGCAAGCAAACACCCTGGGAAACATCAACAAGCCTGAGTCCCACTCCATGTACCTTTTTAATATGCCACCTCTACTCCACCATTTCATATTATTATCCTGCGTTCCCAAAATCTAATTTCTTTATCCCTCTGCTCCACCCCAAATCTTATACATCTCACCCTCACTGCTACCATCTCCCTACTACTGCTCTCATCTCCCTTTTGCTTCACTTCACTCTCCTCCTGACCTAAACACCAGAACTGAAGGCATGTACACTCGTGTACATCCCTCTACCATGTTACTTTCCTCACCCTTCTTCTCCTAACCTCTGGGGATATCTCCCCAAACCTTTTTCCTCCACTATTTCACCCCCACACCAGGCATCCTCTTTCTTCCGGGAATAGGCGCAATCCCCTCAATATCAGTCCCCGTGCTCCCAAAAACCACCCTCCCTTTGTCATGTGCACTCTGGAATGCCCGCTCTGTCTGTAATAGGCTCACCTCTGTCCATGACCTTTTTGTCTCCTGCTCCCTTAACCTACTAGCAATTACAGAAACCTGGCTTCAAGCAGCAGATTCTTCTTCTCCCACAGCACTTTCCTATGGAGGCCGCCTCTGGACCCACTCACCCAGACCCAGTGGTCGGAAAGGAAGTGGGGTTGGTTTGCTTCTATCCCCACTGAGCACCTTTCAAGTCCTCCCCAACCCTTCCTCTCTATCCTTCTCTTCTTTTGAGACTCACTGCATTCGGCTGTTTTCTCCCATTTCTCTGAGGATTGCAGTGATCTATCGGCCTCCTGCACCGGTGTCCTGCTTTCTTGATGATTTCTCCGCCTGGCTACCCTACTTTCTCTCCTCTGAACTACCCGCTATCATTCTTGAAGATTTTAACATCCCTATTAATGTCAACAACCCAGCTACATCCCAACTCTTCAACCTAACCTCTTTTGCATTAGCACAATGTATACAGTCCTCCACTCACTCTGATTGGAATACTTTTACACCTTGTTTTTTCCTATCTTTGCACTCCCTACAACCTCACAAACACCCCCTCTCCTCTCTCTGATCACAATCTCATCACCTTCAGAGTCTCCTCATCTGCAAACACCTACCTCCAAGCAGCAAACAATTACCTGCAGAAACCTTCACAACTTGAACCCTGCTCCTTTCCACTCTGCAACTGACCAACTCTATGACAGAATCTCTCCCCTGTCCTGCCATGACCTGACCACTGCTGTCTACAACAGTTCGCATTCATCCACACTAGACTCACTTGCTCCTCTAACAACACGAAGCATCAGGCCCCGACCGTTACAACCTTGGCAGACTGACAACACCAGAAATCTTAAGCGACATAGCCATGTGCTGGAGTGATTGTGGCGTAAAACCAAATCTCAACAAGCATTCACCTTATAAATCTGCTTTCTTAACATACAATTCCTCCCTCCATGCTGCCAAACAAGCCTACTTTGTCACTCTTAATACCTTGTCATCCAGTCCTCGTTGTCTCTTCTCTACTTTTAACTCTACTTTCTCCACCTCCACCCAGTACCTCACTCACTGCTCAAGAGATTGCAAATCATTTCAAAAACAAGATTGATGCAATTCATAGGGGCATCGCCACTGCACAGACATCCATCCCACTTAGCATACCTTACACTAAACCTCCCTCAACACTTTCCTCTTTTGACCTGCTACTGCCGAAGAGGTCATTAAGGTTTTCTCAGAAGTCCGTTTCACCACATGCCCCCTGGGCCCTGTCCCCTCACAACTACTGCCCTACTTAAACCTCACTAATGATCTACTATCTGCAAATCCAATGGCTCGCTACTTTAACCGTACCCATCCCCACCAACGGCCGCTACTATGTACCCATCCCAACCAACGGCCGCTACTCCGTACCCATCCCAACCAACTCCCTGCTGCCATTTACCTCCGTACCCATCCCAGCTCCTCCAACGGCCGCTTCTCCGTACCCATCCCAACCCAACCAACGGCCGCTTCTTTCCGTACCCATGCCCAACCAACGGCCGCTACTCCGTACCCATCCCAACCAACGGCCCACTTCTCCGTACCCATCCCAACCAACGGCCGCTTCTCCGTACCCATCCCAACCAATGGCCACTACTCCGCAGCCAATCCCAACCAATGGCCACTACTCCGTACCATCCCAACCAACGGCCTACTACTCCGTACCAATCCCAACCAATGGCCACTACTCCGTAGCCATCCCAACCAATGGCCGCTACTCCGTAGCCATCCCAACCAATGGCCACTACTCCGTAGCCAATCCCAACCAATGGCCGCTACTCCGTAGCCATCCCAACCAATGGCCACTACTCCGCAGCCATCCCAACCAATGGCCACTACTCCCATAGCCATCCCAACCAATGGCCACTACTCCGTACCCATCCCAACCAATGGCCACTACTCCGTAGCCATCCCAACCAACGGCCACTACTCCGTAGCCATCCCAACCAACGGCCGCTACTCCGTACCCATCCCAACCAACGGCCGCTACTCCGTAGCCATCCCAACCAATGGCCGCTACTCTCCGTACCCATCCCAACCAACGGCCGTACGCCATACTACTACTCCGTACCCATCCCAACCAACGGCCGCTACTCCGTACTCATCCCAACCAACGGCCACTACTCCGTACCCATCCCAACCAACGGCCCACTACTCCGTACCCATCCCAACCAATGGCCACTACTCCGTACATCATCCCAACCAACGGCCACTACTCCGTACTCATCCCAACCAACGGCCACTACTCCGTACCATCCCAACCAATGGCCACTACTCCGTACCATCCCAACCAATGTCCACTACTCCATACTCTACTACTTGATCTCTCTACGGCTTTGATATGGTTAACTCCCCTCTCCCAAAAACTCTACTCTACTCTTGGCCTCCGAGACTCTGCTCTCTCCTGGTTCTCCTCCTACCTATCGCAGCGCTCCTTCAGCGTTACCTATAAGCTCTGCCTCCTCCTCTTCACTCCCTCTCTCTGTAGGGGTCCCCCAAGGTTCTGTCCTTGGACCCCTACTCTTCTCCATCTACACCTCCTCCATTGGCCACTTGATAAACTCCAATGGCTTTAAGTACCATCTCTATGCTGATGACACACAAATCTATCTCTTTCTACACGTCACCCCTTTAGTCTCCTCTCGCATTACTAACCTACTAAGCGACATATCGGCATGGATGTCACTCCACTTTCTCAAACTCAATCATTCCAAAACTGAGCTCTTAGTATTCCCTCCAGCCCGTACCCCTCCCCTGACTTCTCCATCAAGATCAATAACACAATCATCAGTCCCTCCCCTCATGCCAGGGTACGAGGTGTAATCCTAGACTCCCATCTGTCCTTTCAGTCCCAAATCCAATCGCTGTCCAAATCTTGTAGACTTCACCTCCACAACATCTCCAAGATACGGCCGTTCTTAACCTCGGAAACCACTAAGCAACTTATTCACTCCCTTGTTATATCTCGCCTTGACTATTGTAACTCCCTCTTCATTGGCCTACCTCATCGCAGGCTATCTCCTCTTCAGTCTATCATGAATGCTGCTGCCAAGCTCACCCACCTTACTAACCGTTCTGTATCAGCCACCCCTCTCTGCCAATCCCTCCACTGGCTTCCCATTGCCTAACGGATAAAATTCTAAACATTAACAATAACATATAAAGCCATTTATAACTCTGCCCCAAATTACATCACCGATCTTGTCTCCAAATATCACCCAAAACTCTCTGCTCCTCGCACAAACTCCTGCTCCCTAGCTCCCTTGACTCCTCCTCCCATGCTAGTCTCAAGAACTTCTCCAGAGCTTCCCCCATCCTCTGGAACGCTCTACCCCAATTTATCAGACGATCGCCTACTCTGCTCACTTTTAGGTGATCTCTGAAAAATCTCTCTTCAGGGAAGCCTATCCTGCCCTCAGCTAATAATGGAATCTTCTACTCTTCCAACCAGTCCATCCCCCACAGTTACTACCTTTTGTACCACTAGCCCCTCCCTCCTAGATTGTAAGCTCCAAGGAGCAGGGCCCTCCTATCCTCTTGTATTGAACTGTATTGTTGCTGTATTGTCTCCCGTTATATTGTAAAGCACTGAGCAAACTGTTGGTGCTATATAAATCCTGTATTATAATAATAATATAATTAATAATATTATTACCTTCTCTGCAACACTATGCCCAAAACACGACTGCATTTTACGATTATTGTGCTCTAAAAATAACACTAAATTAATTTTTCTTGTCCAAGCATTGGATCAGATATTGGACTGAGGACATGTCTGAAAGCTTATGAAAAATGCCAGTTCCCTGGCTGCCTCTGGTGTCTTACATAGAGAGGGCTTGGGGGATCACTAGAGAATGAACATTACTATAAAAATCCTTTGGCAGAAAAATTAGTTTCTATAGAAGTGTTTTGCTCTGCGTTCAGCTCCTTGGCCGGACTTGCCCTTCAAGCACTTGTCTTTGGTAGTGTGTATTCCACTTATTGTGCCAAGACTTTCCCTTTGTGTCCTGACCATGAGAAGGCGAGGCTGGAGAACACAACGGCCCGTGGCGGGTTGTATCAATCAGAAACATGTTTATTTGTGGAGCTTCCCCAGCCTCAATGTGTCTCCGCTGGTAACATTACATGTGTTGGGATCATGTTCAATTTGTGAACGTTGTGTATGCGGGTTTATTTATCCAGAACATGTGTGTTGTTTCAAACACTGCTGACTAGACATTGCTTGTTTAGCTTCCAGCAAAGATAGATTATATGGACACTCACGCCTGGATGTATAGTATTTACTTACATGATGGCGTGCGTCCTGTGATTGCAATCCTCATTTAAAGAGGTACACCTACGTATTTTGTATGTATGGAGGCTGCACAGTACCACTTCTCTTGTTCTGTACATTGAGTGTAAGTCTGAGTGCAAGTCTCAGTGTTTGTTCTTATCCTGTTTGTATGGACACTACACAGTAGCAATTCTTTTGTTCTATGTGCTGGGTGTAATTCTCAGTATCTCTTCTGATTCTGTATGTCTGGACTCTGCACAGTAACACTTCACTTATTCTGTATACTGGGTGTAATTTCTAATATCTGTTCTTGTTCTGTGGTATTGACCAGTGTTTCTCCACCTTTTTTCAGTCAAGGCACACTTTAAAATTATGCACAAATCTCAAGGCACATTTCTAAAATGTAGAAAACAAAACTAATAGTTTTACATAACGTGGCAACATCCACACACATAGGACACCCAACGTTAGAGGTGATGCATTTTTCCAGAGCAAATACACCTTTTCACACTGGTACTGACTAGTATTCCAAGGTTTCTTTTCCTCCTCAGCTAATGTGATCCAGGTGCTTATTATTATTGGCAGGGGAGGGCAAACAAGGATGTTGCTCAGGCACCCGACATCCTCCTTACTAACCGATGACGTCACTGGTTGTTAGGACACCAGCGGCTAGAAGTTTGTAAAGGTGCACAATGAAAACCTGTGACTGTGTATCAAAGGCTGGCCACACACTATACAATTTTCTGTCCAATATCTGCCCAGATTACTTTAGATTTACCTTCAACTATGCAGTGCAAGGGCCTGCCTAATTGGATACATTTAAAAATGTTGTTTAGGTTTGACTTCATATTATATGGTTTTTGGTAAATCTAAAGCAAATTTCTCAAGAAAATTGTAAAAGGTATGGCCAGCCTAAAAGGCAGACTTCAGCCACCCACTGGTTTGTACACAATTTTTGGGCAATTTTTAGGCATTTTGCCAAGATACCCCTGGAGAAACCTGAAGGCACCCTGGTTGATAAAGGTTGGTATAGACTCTGCACAGTACCACTCTTGTTCTGTATGCTGGGTGTAATTTCCAGTATCTTTTCTTGTATGCTATGTATGGAACCTGCACAGCACCATTTCACTTGTTCTGTATGCTGGGTACAGTTCTTTTTCTGTATGTATGGATACTGCACAGTACCACTTTACTGGTTCTGTGTGCCTGGTACAATCCCCAGTATCAGACACTGCACAGTATCCCATCTCATTCTGTATGTATGGACTCTGCACAGTAGCACTTCCCTTGTTCTGTATGCTGGGTGTAATTCTCAGTATCTGTTCCTATTCTGTATATATGGGCTCTGCACAGCAGCACTTCCCTTGGTTCCGTATGTCGGGTGTAATTCTCAGTATCTGTTCCTATTCTGTATGTATGGGCTCTGCACAGTAGCACTTCTCGTTCTGTATGCGGGTGTAATTCTCAGTATCTGTTCTTGTTCTGTATGTATGGGCTCTGCACAGTAGCACTTCCCTTGTTCTGTATGCTGGGTGTAATTCTCAGTATCTGTTCCTATTCTGTATGTATGGGCTCTGCACAGCAGCACTTCTCTTGTTCTGTTTTCTGGGTGTAATCCTCAGTATCTGTTCTTATCCTGTTTGTTTGGAAGCTCTGCAGGAGCAATTATTTTGTTCACTATACCGGATGTAATTTTCATAATCTGTACTTACTGTGTCTGGACTCTGCAGGAGTAACACTTCTGTTCTGTACATTGGTCTATACCTACAGATTCATAATATCTGTAGGTATAGACTCTGCACAGTACCACTTCTCTTGTTCTGTGTGCTGGGTATAATTCTTAGTATCTGTTCCTATTCTGTATATCCTTTATAATTCTTAATATCTGTGCTTATGCAAGTATGGATGTTTCACAGTAACACTTATTTTGTTCCATGTGCTGGGTATAAATTTCAGTATCTGTTCTTATTCGGTGGGTATGACCATTGCATAATACCACCCCACTTTTTATGTATGCCATGTATAATCCTCAGGATTCGGTTCTTATTCTGTACGTATGGATGCTGCACAATAGCACTTCCCTTTTTCTGGATGTTGGATTTAATTCTCAGTATCTGTTCTTATTCTGTATATATGAAGTATGTGTAATGCCATTTCTCTTGTTCTGTATGATGGGTATAAGTTTTTTTATCTGTTATTCTATATTTATGGATTCTGCATAGTAACACTTACTTGTTTGTATCCTGGGTGTCAGTATCTGCAATTTTTTTTTGTTTATGGACTCTGCACAGTACCACTTCTCCTGTTTTGTATGTCAGGTGTAATCCTCAGTATCTGTTCTTACTCCCTATGGACTCTGCACAGTAACCAATAACACTTCTCTATGCTGGGTATGATTCTTAGTATCTGTTCTTGTGTGTAAGGATTCTGCACAGTACCACCTCTTGTTTTGTATGCCGGGTGTAAATTCATCAACTTTCCTGGATAGCATTGCCTGGCCTCTTTGCTGAGTTTCCTGGATAGCACTAGTGGATCACAGATCGATTTCACTTGCCTAAATCCGCATTAGTTTGCCAGACAAAATACTTGACCTAATTATACAGCAGATTGGTGTTATCATTACCATCACACCCAGGAATTTTCCTAATGAAATGCTGATTTCATTCCCAATTTCCTCTATCCAGTGCCCGTACAGTGCCAGGGCCGCCTTATTTCATGAAGTTGGCATTAAAAGCGTAATGTATAGCACGTCGCCCTTCCAAATTGCACATCGGGGTAATCCATCTCCCCTGTAAATGTGAGAGGAAATGGCTTTTTGCAGCAACAGGAAAAATTAGGAGGGACGTTAATAGGCTCTATTTAATAACACTGCACACGTCATAGAATGGGGTAATCCTCATCATCATCGGCTTTGGAGCAGACATGTCCCATTTACAGTTTAAAGGAAGCAATTAGCATGTTACACATTTCTGCCCAGGTGCCAAATGGAACAGAGTTAATGGATTCACATACAGTCAAGTTTGTGCAATGCATTGAGTTC